TCGCGTCTTCCTTCCTGCCTCCTCCCGCCGCTGCGCTGCGAAGGGGCCGGCAGGACCAAAGGTGACACCTGGCCGCCGTTCCTGGGGCAGCCTGTCACGGTCCAAATTAGCGCTGAGCTATATTTGGAAGTTTATGAGATGTTATCATAATACAGGAAATTCTAAATAAGCAAAAAGTTAAACACTCAGCTGACACAACACAACCAGATGACCTTAGCTCCCGGGCAGGCCAGCGGTGGTGAGCACTGGCACGCCAGGGACGCTCTCCGGGAACGGCTGGTTCCCAGCCCGGCGGGGTCACGGCCAAGCGAGAGACTCCCCATCGCTTCGCTTGCTCTCGGCGTCTCCGAAGCGACGCAACGAGGAGCTCGAAGCGAACGTCCTGGGGAAAGGCTGAGCCAGGACTCCATCTCCCAGGACCCCCAAGCCGCCTTTCCAGGGTGCTTCCAGTCCCCTGCTGTCCACATTCCCTGGAAAACCCACCCCGGCATGGCCCACCCGCTCGCAGGAGCGCGGCGGCGGGCTGGCACTGCCGCACAGCAAGGGGCACGGCAGCCGCTGCGCCCGCTCCAGGGGAGGCGCGGGGTCTGGCCGGCGGGGAACACGGCCACGCAGCAGCTTCTCCAGCCGCTCCAAGAGCTGGGCCTTCCCTGCGGAGCCCGCTGCGGTGGCTGAGCAAGGAGAAGTGAATTTTCATGTGGTTTTTTAGGCAAAGGATCTCGCTTGGGACAAGCCCTTTTCCAACACCCACACCTGAAGCCCTCTGCTCTCAAGGGTGAAGGTGGCTGAAAGCAGGGGGGGTGTTTCACCAAGCAGCACGGTACAAACTCAACGGTCAAGTCTCAAGACATCAGTCCTCCTGCAGGCCCAGACGCGACTCCCACACTCCCAAACCTCAAAAATCATAGAATCATCATAGAATCACTTTGGTTGGAAAAGACCTTTGAGATCATCGAGTCCAACCTTTAACCTAACCCTGCCATCCCACCACTAAACCATGTCCCTAAGCCGGGCACTTGGCCTTATTGAACCCTGAATACGGGGGAACGAGAAGCTCCCAAGTCCTCAACACAGGAGCAAGAGGTGCTCCAGCCTCCCTTCACCCCTGGCTTCCAGCACAGGGGCTGGGGGCTGCCCAGCTCTGCCGGGAGAGAGCGGGGGGATCAGTTCAAGCATGGAAAAGTTTTGGCCGCTCACCCCAGGTGCAGGGAGATGGAGCTCAGCTTCAGCATTGCCTCAAAGCGTCACTAGCAGAGGCTTCCAAGAGCTGCTCAGTATCTCAGAGCGGAAATTATTTTGAAAGTTTATCTCTTTTAAAGCACCATCAAGTACTTGATGCTGCAAAGCACTGACCATAGTTACCGAGGTGGCTTCCTGCAAAACAGCGTTAACCCACAAGGCACGAAGCCATGGAACGCAACCTGTAAGGGGACCTGAAGCATCCTTAGTGACCTTGCTCCACAGTCCAGGGCTGATGACGCTCTGCGGCACGCGAGGCACCGTACCCAAACCATGCCCGTAAGCCCGCTCCACCGGGCGTCATCAGCCCTGGACTGTGGAGCAAGGTCACTAAGGGCGCTCTTCATAGAATCGTCTTGGTTGGAAAAGACCTTTAAGATCATCAAGTCCAACCATTCCCCTACCCCTGCCATCCCACCCCCAAACCCCG